ATAGTCGCGTCGGTATTGCACATGGGAAATGTTGGTTTTACGGAGGAAGACGGTGTCGCGCAAATTCTAAAACCAGCTTCCGTTGAAGCCGTGGCAGCTGTATGTATTTGCCATAAGGATATTCGAGTCTTTTTCTTTTGAATTTAATTTATTTGAAGGGAAAAGCTTTCAATTTCAATTGTTTAACATTTTTTTTTCTATTTATTCGCAGTTATTGGGTTGCGACGTGAAGCAACTGGCGGGCGCCTTTACAAATCGCACCATAGACGCCCACGGTGACGTGGTCGTCTCCCCGTTGAACAGGGAATTCGCGATTTATGCACGGGATGCGTTGGCGAAAGCTGTGTATGATAGATTGTTCACATGGCTCGTGACTAGGTTGAATAAATCCTTGCAACCGATTAGGAATCCACCACGCAAGATGGTCATAGGAATTCTCGATATTTACGGTTTCGAAATCTTCCAGAAGAACAGGTACATGATCTCTAGCATTAAACGTTATTTCCATTGACCAACCATTCATCCGAGGTATCGTTCAACAGCTTCGAACAATTCTGTATAAACTACTGCAACGAGAAGTTGCAACAGTTGTTCATTCAATTAACACTGAAATCGGAACAAGAGGAATACTTGAGGGAAGGAATAACTTGGGAGAATATTCAGTACTTCAATAACAAAGTTATATGCGATTTAATCGAAGAGAAATATAAAGGTATTCGTTCGAGACTTATATTTGATCGATTGTTGTAGATTTACAATGTTTCAATTGACCTGTACTTGTAGGTATAATATCTTTGATGGACGAAGAATGCCTCCGTCCTGGTGAACCAACAGACTTGAGTTTCCTGGAGAAATTGAACGTAAACTTGAACAACCATCCTCATTACATAAGCCACATGAAAGCGGACTTGCAAACGCAAAAAGTTATGGGACGTGATGTAAGGCTGGAACGTTTGAATTTCTTGCATGTTTCTCTAATGTAATTATCTGTAGTCTAATTGTACATTTCAGGAGTTCAGATTAGTACATTACGCCGGCGATGTGACTTACAACGTTCGTGGGTTCTTGGAGAAAAATAATGACTTGTTATACAGGGATTTACGCGAAATAATGTCACACACGACTAATTCAATTACCAAGGTACTTTCACTTAATTTATGTGCAGACGTCGCTTCTCCCCCGTCTTGCATATTAAAATTTATGATTTCGTAGAGTGTGTTCGACGTGAAAGATTTGACCAGCAAGAAACGACCGGATACCGCTATCACGCAATTTAAAAACAGCTTGAACAATCTGATGGAGATTCTTATGGGCAAAGAACCTTCTTACATTCGTTGCATCAAACCCAATGACTACAAAATGCCTAGTAAGGGGCAAGATCTTGTACCGTACTTCGATTACAAAATATTTCCGGGTCCTTTAAAATGAATTTAAAACTGTTTCAGATAAGTTCAATGAAAAAATTATACTACATCAGGTAAAGTACTTGGGTCTTATGGAAAATCTACGAGTGAGGCGAGCTGGTTTTGCCTACAGAAGACCGTACGAACAATTTTTACAACGCTACAAATCCCTATGCCCGCAAACGTGGCCTAATTATCACGGTTCTGCTAAAGAGGGTGTACAAATTCTCGTGTGTCATCTTAGATTTGAAGCTGACGAATACAGGATGGGCAAGTAAGAGTTACGATGATAGGATACAATAATCGTTGATTCTTATACATTCAAAGATACTTCTAATATTAGATAAAATCTTTTATATAGCACAAAATTGTTCATTCGATTCCCTAAGACATTATTCGACACAGAAGATGCCTTCCAAGCGAAGAAACATGACATAGCTGCTATTATTCAAAGTAGATGGAAATGTATATTAGAAAGACGAAAGGCAGTTATTACTATTCGAAGGTATTTTTAGTTAACATTTATCTTTAAAAAATTTTTAATGTACTTTAAAGATGTATTGCAAAATTAATATAATTTCATGCAGATTCATCGAAGGATTCATTACACGAAATGGACCACCAACTGAGGTTAACATAGCATTTATCGAATTAGCGAAATCTCAGTGGTTAATTAAGCTCTCTAAAACACTTCCAAATGGTATTTTGAATAATTATTGGCCTGAGTGTCCATATTCTTGCCGACAAGTAAGACGCATAATCAACTATCTTTACATTTAAATATTTCTTTTTAAAGAAAGAATAATTATTGTTTGATTTAGGCTTCCGAACATTTGCGCGTCATGTATAAAAAATGGAGAGCACGCAACTATAGGTTGGCTTTGTCGAAAGAGGACAAGAAGCAGTTTGAATTAAAGATTTTAGCTGAATCTCTATTTAGAGGCAAAAAGAAATCGTATGCTAAAAGTTTAGGTCCGAGATTCATAAACGATCGGCTTGGTGCCGAGCATAAAGCGCTCAGACAAAGTTTTATCAGCAATATTCTTCCCAGAGATGAAACTATAAAAGTAAAGAACTTTTATACACTTCAAATTTGATATTTCTCCTAAATTTCAATTAAATTAATGATGATTTTCTTTTTTATAGTATGCGGCACCTGTTATTAAGTATGATCGACACGGTTACAAACCTCGGGAAAGGGTACTAATTTTAACAGAGAATGCAGTATATATTTTAGACACTTTAAAAACATTCAAGCTCAAGCATCGCCTACCTTATAAATCCATTGAAGAATTGGTTGTCACCAGAGAATCAGATAATTTATTAATCGTTAGGATACCACCTGAATTAAAAAAAGACAAGGTTTGTCATCGTTGTATCATAAAAAAATATCAGCAAACTATTATTTTACTTATTTACGTCTTATTTAGGGCGATTTAATATTGGAGGTACCGCACATAATAGAAGCGTTAACAAAAGCAATCAATATCACTAATAACCCAAATATTCTTAATATTGTTTATACGGAATCGTAAGTACATAAATAGAAGATGATAAATATTTTAGTACTGAGTATTTAACTTGTATTATTTGTCAGGGTCTCACATAAGCTAGTCAGTGGGAAAGAAGGCGTAATCGAATTCAAAACCGGCAACACACCAGCCATTAGTAAAAACAGACAAAGCGGACATTTACTAGTGGTAAATAAACATTTCGACAACAAGCGATACTAAAAGTAAACCGTACTCTTTTGTTTTCATTTCTATGTATGACATTTTAGGTGGCCTCTCCATAATGTCCAAAACAATGCTTCAAATATTTACGTACTTAGAAGGAAGTGTTCAGCATACAAAATACGATACGTGATGCAGCCTTAATCGATGTGATGTAGGACGGAAGATTATTAAGAAGAGATAATATATTAAAATTTAGTACATTTATCGAATGACACTCGCAGTTTTTGTACCTTGTTATATGAGTTGTGTAAAATATCTTGTGAAATAATGTTTATTTTTGTAATTAGCGCATGATCAGCGAAATGAAACATTTTCGCTGATGACATGAAACGATTTAAAAATGAAACCTTTGTGCCTTCTATGAATCTATTATCAAATAATCGCACAAAAAAGTAATTTATTACGGGATGTTTTACAGGTGCATTGAAAGGAAATATTTCTTTTTCTATATTTATATTGTATAAGTCACTGTGCCATTGATATCATGTTCAGAATTATCCTATGAAATAACAATATAATGTTAAATTAAATTAACGATTTTAAATCTTGATAGATAAGTGATTATATATCATTTCTCCTGTTGCTTCCACCTTTATTTTAGTAGTAAATGTTAGGTATAAATTATAAGTTTGTTTGCAGAAAATGTGAAATATGCTCTTTTATTTTCATTTCTTAGAAGTGTCACAAGGCACAGATGTATCCTGTACAAAACTTTACAATATAATTCATTTTATGATACAAAGTTTCATGTATACTACATTTAACTATCATTAAAACTTAAGTAGAAATGAAGACGATTCTTTCCTTAACATAGACATTTAAACAATACAACTATTTCTGTTGGGAAGTTGATGGTTCCTTTTTTGTAAGAGACATCTTTCCATCTAAAGCTTTTTGTCGCAGTTCATTTTCCATTGCTTTGTTGACAGTTTTCGTAATCATCTGTTTTAACTTGTGTGATTCTTCAAATTTCATCTTTTTAGGTTGAATAGGTGCATCTATACACAAAACAATTGGAATATTTTATGAATAAACTTAAATATAATTCTACATCATAACTCGTAACAACTATGTCGCATTAAAGTTTACAAATTTCATATATATAACTAATTTAGTTAATTTAACTCGATTCATTAAATTTTACGGTAATAATATTTGAAATAAATCGTTTACAAAGACTGTGTAAATATCTTTGTTTGTAATAATTCTTTTTACAAATCGTTTTCAAATTAATTACGCACAAAAATCAACATGTACATATTACTTACTGTTTCGCCGTTGAATAGCAAGACCCCTTTTATTTTTATCTTTAGCTTTGCTTTTTGACGACGCTGGTACTTTAGTCTTCACTTTCAATTTTCCTTGAACCATATTCTAAATATTTAACAAAAAGTTTTTATATGTATATTCGATACAACACGTGTGTATATCAACATATAAAAACTAACCTTAATTTGATAAAACGTACATATGCATCTTAAATATATATGTATGCTTTTGCGTATGAAGAAATAATCTTTATAAATTCATCTCATATGTAAAAAAAATTATTAAAAAACACTCGATGTTTTTCCATTTATGTGATTCTAAATACACCTACGTCACTATCAACTTATCGAACGTACTATGGTGATACGGATATTTTGAAACCTGTCAATTACAACATCAAACAAACTTCGAAATATTTTAAATATTATGTTTATTCTGATATAATTCTAAACGATACGATAGATTAATGATAATTTTATCTTGTCTTCGATTACACGAAGGTTATTCTAATGACTAACATGAATTATACTGGTTCATATAATATTTAACAGTTCGTAATTGCTGTTTGTTATCAGATTGTTCGGTCCGGTTTTTACGAAATATCACGTTTAAGCCTCAGTTCTCTTTTATCTATCAGTTATTTAACGTAGAGAAATAAAACGACCAGAATGGCACTTTCTAAACCTACAAATTTAATTCTTCAACTTACCAGTGCTTATTTTGAACGTCTTTATACTAGTCCGGTAAAAACTAAAGCAATCACTAGGTATGTTATGAAGAATATAAATTCTACTTCATTTTTAAAATATACTTTACAAGAACGTTGTTTGTTTTTTCAGTTGTATCATCGCCACTCTCGGAAATTTTATATCGCAAAAAATTTCGGGTGTAAAACGCATTAACGAAGACAGTTTACTCGCATTTGCTCTCTTTGGGTAAATTAAAATAAATTATAATTCAAATTCTTTAAATGAAATCATTACAGTGCCAATTGAATTTTACATTAACAGATTTTGTTAACAAATATTAACAACTTACTACTTTGTAGACTATTATTTGGAGGTCCTCTTCCACACTATTTTTATACTTACATACAACCATTTGTAAGAAATCCTTTAATTCTTTTATTGATAGAAAGATGTTTGTATACACCATGTTATCAAGCATTAGCATTGCACATGCTATCTCTGTTTGAGGTATAATCTCTTAATATATTCATTTGTTTCTGTCATTCATTACTTGTTTACTCATTTGGATTGAAATTTATTTTGTTGCAGGGTAATAGTCATAATGATGCTTGGAAACAAATGAAAAAATTGTACTGGCCAGTGCTCATGGCAAATTTAAAATATTTAACATTGTTACAGTATATTAACTTAAAATATGTTCCACCAGTGGTAAGTTTTATTGTTTTAGTTTATTTAATCTGATAATTCAAAAGATTTTGTATAATTTTATATATGTATTTATAAAGTAATAGAACTTAAACAAATAATAAGTATTTAATAATTTGCTTTTAGCTGCGTGTTCTTATGGTAAACCTTATTGGTTTCTTTTGGGCTATATATCTTGCACAACAGCGGACTAAACATTCAAAAGCCAGTGGTGGAAGAAAATAACATATTGATATTACATGAATTCAATTTTGATTTCATTACATGTAAAACAAATATGTAGTTTCATTCCACTCCAATGTTATACTTTTCCATATCATTCCAATGTTATACCTTTACTCTATATATTATTTCACTAGTGCAATTTAAGTATAGATTTCAAGTAAAGAATATTCTGCACTAGTATCTAATTATGGTATAGGAGAACTTATTAATAAATTTTATAAGTGTTTTGGAAAAAGAAAAAAACTTTCTTAAGCTTTTTAATTTAATCACACAACAACAATACAGAGTATATTACAGATATAATCAGAATTTCTTCCATTTCAACAATGGTAACATTCGATGGCTGTAAATTATGAATAATAAATATTAATGTCAAGAGCCATGGTGAGCAAAGTTTAACAACTTCTGTTTTTACAGGTTCATGTAAATTAATTTCACTTCATATTTCATTCAAGCTTTATGATATTGTGAAACTCACCAATTGTGTGAGGAAATGAACCATTCAAATCTTAGACTAATTTTATAAAACAAATGCTTTATGATAAGTACATACATATTTATATTTCTGTTTTAATAGATATGCATTAGTAGAGAATCAATATTGCAACACCATAGCAATTGGCCTTTTTTTTTTTAAACTGAGTCAGTCATTATGCAAGAGCTAATCCTACTTAGTTTCCCTCCTAATTATAAACAATGTAGACTTTCCAAATGACTTTTTAACCCTATACATACATTTTCAAGACTTAACTTTGAATAATCAAGACTAGTCTAATTATGTCTTTTGGTACGCTGCCTGGCCTTACAGCCAAGAAAAAAACTTTCTGACTAGTATTGAGATAAATTGAGTATTGCAAGTAAAAGAAAGTTTAAAAGTTTAACATTTTTCGAATGTTGAGTAGATAGAATAAAGAAGCAAATGAGCAAAGTGCCAGGTTTATGCACAATATCTATCTACAAAAGGAACAGGTGTAGAACATTGCACTAAAATATCAATAAATAGTTCCTCGAAAAATTAATAGATTAATTCGAAGGATGCTCTAGTATGTTAATTATTAATGGAATGTCTAAAATTTGACTAGCTGGTGTTTGTATAACAAACAATTACATGATTAAATAATCACGTTGATGTAGAACTACTAGAGTAGTTTTATTCGTAAATGAATGTTTAAACGATAGATAACTATTGAATGATGTGAGATCTTAAAAAGCTGCAATCAACACAGTTTATGATGCTTATAGTCATCATTGCCTTCTTATTGCTTAAGTACTTAGATGTATGTAAGTTTGCAAAAAAGGTCACTATACGAAGACTTAAAATTCTCAAAGTCGTGACACAACATAATCCATGGCGGTACTGTCTTTTTAAAAATGATCGCATTATAAAATATTATCGAATCATTATTCCTATTATTAAAATATCTTATTTGGTTAACCTTGCATGTTTATCTTTCAAATCACGATCAAATTCATGAAATTAAAAAATTAATAATTGATCGGAACTAAAATCCCCAACTTTTTGTTGGTGATAAATTCGTCTTAACAATTAATACTATACCAATATGAATATAAATATCACACTGTAACGACATTGAAATCAGTCCATTTCTAATACTTAATTGAAATAGAAATGGATAGGAATAATATTACTGTTACCTGTCCAAAAAAGAACTTGTCCCGAATGACATACGTATGTACTAATACTGAAGCTGATGGTATTATGGTGAATCACCACCAATGAGTATTATTAAGTCATGAGATCAGACATGTAAATGCATATTGAGAATTTACAAAGACTTAAAGATCATGCACCAAACTTAGAATGGCGTATATTTCCTTTGTATCTATCCGATACATGAAAATACGTAAAATTCTTGCTTTGCAAATGTATCGCGCGAATTTCCAACGTTATAAACATGATTTTGCGTGATTTAAAACTGTTAGAAAAAGCATTAAAGGACCTTCATGATCCGCACCATTCCAAATCTGACACATAAAAGGAACGTCGAGTCTTTAGGAATCCACTTGATCGCTTCAACGCGTGTACGATGGACTCCGACTTGGGGAACAACTTGATCGATGACTTGGACTTGACCAATTACTATGTCTGCTGCTATCTGAACTACTCGGTGACGAAGGTGGAGTCGGAGTAGGTCGATGATATGGAATTGGTCGTTTCCTGGCGCTAAAATTAATGGTCATCAATACTGTGTAACAATAATCGTAACATTGGTATGTAATAAAAAAGAAACGTTTGTTAAAGTTCAGTTATTTGTGGGTAACTTCTATTGCATGAATTAACGTATTATAAATAAATAATCGAACTACTATCAATGATAATAGATATCAAAAAGAAAAAATGTTAGAACATGCAAAATAAACCATGCAACGCAACAAAAATTTCATGCAAAAATAAAAATGTGTCACTTACCTTGCTGTAAATTTGATCAAGGAAGGCAGTGGATTGAATATGATTCACAAAACATAACGAAAAAAAAAATATGTCGAGAACTAAAGAAAAAGGCTTGCTTTTGTAGCGGTAAATACAGTTTATTTGTGACTGACATAAAATAAAAGAGAATCTCTACTGTAAATGTTTAATTTACAATAATTTATAAGGAAGATACACGCATGCTACATCTACATGATATTTGTAGATCGTTTTATAAGCGATTAGATACAAATGAAAAGGGGGAAGAGGAAGTGGGAGAAAAGAAAAATCATACAAACATAAGTATACTTGACTGACTTGAAATGAAACTCGTATATCGGTGCGGTTGAGTAGGTATACGTTTACTCTGAATAAAACGAATAATGGAGGTTCGCTGATCGAACGTATTGTTTACAGTGTAGAAATTCATGTAAGTGCCTAAAATAGTCCCTTAGAAAATTATTGAGGTTATACTGATAAAGTAGCCATATATCATAGTGTTCACGAATAATTATAATAAAACAACACGACTGTTCACGCTTATTTCAATATTAAACTAATCTTCACGATTGCAACTAAACCTGTTTCGATCGAATTTTTGTTTCTCTGTCATTTAACTTATACGAAAATGAAATTCGATATGCATACGTTTACTACTACAATTATAATGGTAGGAAAGTAATAGAAACATCTGTGCGAAGCCGTAACTTTATCTTCTATGCCTGTCCCTCGATCTGTCCCTGTAGGACACAATACAAAATGGCATTAGATTAATGAAAAATCGCTCTAACGTATTCGTCAATAAACTTATCGATATCGTCGCTTTGCAAATTGCTCGCTCTAACACAAAACGTTTAGTTGTACAGGTGAGCATTTCAAAAGTGAGAAGAGTACACATTAATGGCGGAAAAATAAAAAAAAATAAAATAAAATAAAACAAAATAAAATAAAATAAAATAAAGGTTTCGAAAGAAGATAAACATTTCTACGATCGATGCAACGACTTGTGGGCTTACAAAATTTGGCGTGGTGCGCTGTAAAACCTGCTGCTACGATATCGAGACTACCGGACGGTAATACCTACCTTGTGATACGACGTCTATCTAGAAAACTAGGTGAACCGTGGCGTCGAGGTATCGACGGGGATCGAGACCTGCTAGAAGCTGAGCTGCTGGACGTTGAACGAGAAGACCTACTGGATACACTGCTTGATGATCGTGATGAACTAGAGAAACTTCTACGACTGTGCCTTGAACTGAACGTAAAAGAATTCATATTACAATTTTTCTCATAAACATATACTTCTAGATAACCTATTGTTCATTTACCTTAAAGAAGAACGTGAACTGCTCCTGCTACGACTTCTCTTTTCCTTATCCCGCGATATCCTGGACAACGATCGTGAACGACTCCTCGACTTCTTCGACAATGACCGACTTCTCGACTTCTTCGACAACGACCGACTACGCGATTTCTTCGACAACGATCTACTTCTAGACTTTTTCGACAGAGAACGACTCCTGGACCGTTTGGACAATGACCTAGTCCTGCTTCTGGACCTTGACTTCTCCGGCGAATGAGACGGAGACTTCTTTGAGCGTGACGGAGATCTAGATGCAGAACGTTTTGATTCCGAGGAAGATCTCGATCTGGTCAATCTTTTTGATCTCGCAGGAGATTTTGGTGATTTCTTGGATCTTGATGGTGATACTGAGGTCCTGTGCCTTGGAGATGGTGATTTCTTGCCCCTTGAACCTGAACGCGATTTTTTGTCTCTGCAGGCAGACCTCGAACGATGTCTGGGAGATCTGGAAGACCTTTTCTCTAACGACACAGACCTCGTGTACGATCTAGAGGGTGACCTGGAGTAAGACTTCTCTCTTGGAGAGTGCTTTCTAGAGACTGGTGAATTCTTCTTCGAGGTGGTCGGAGATGCAGATCGTTGTTTCGCCTTGTTGCTCGGTATCGGAGGCGGAGATTCGCTCGGAGAACGCAATTTTATAGTAGTATCTTTATGGGACACTACTATGGGCGGCGAGTGCGAGGACGATGTGCTCTGTGACGAGTGTTTCCTTAAAATAACTGGCGAATCTTTTTTAGAGGTACTTGGAGACTTCGAACGTTGATTCGTCTTAGTTGTTACGATCGGTGATCTTGGTTCTAGTTTGTTCAAGACTTGCGGTAATGGAGGAGGTGACTCACTGGGAGATCTTATTTTTATAGCTGCCTCTTCTCGTGTCAATGGCAACGCGGGTGAAGGCGATCTACTGGACACCGGTGATTGAATAGCAGGTAGGTGAGATATAGGTGATTTTGACTTAGATTTCTCTTGTACAGGACCAACAGTGTTTTGTACCATTTTAGGTGGATCATTTGGTAAAGCTATATCCAATACATTATCCTCTTTCTTGTCAATTTTAAGCTTTACAGGGCTGATGACTTTCTTTCCAAGACTCTCTCTAGCCTTCGCGGCTAGTCCACTTTGTAAACGCTTCAATGTATGGAACTCCTTCATTTTCTCTTCATCCTCTACTTTCGGTTCGTCGTCTGCTATGTCTGTTTCATCTTCGCTAGAGGATCGTAACCTAACCCTCGGTGTGATCGTTCTCATTTTTCTGATTCTAGAGCTCGACCGGGACTTTCGTTTGTTATCATGATTCTTCTTTTGATCCCTTTTCTTCTTGTCCTCCAATATATGCTTGTATCGTTCTGGATTCTTCCTCACGGGAGAATAACTCAAGGTGGATCGTCTAGATCTACTCCTTGTCCTGCTGCGGCTTCTACGACGATCCCTGGATCTTTCCCTCCTGTCTCTCTGCCTTCTCGGCGACCTAGATCTTCGTCGAGAATCAGATCTCCTGCGTCTAGGAAGCGGTGACAATCTACGCCGTGTTCCATAACGATCGTACCTCGATCGACTTCTACTTCTCGATACCGAATACCTGTTGTATCTTCTTGGAGACCTCGAGATCCTTCTTCTTCTTGGCGAAGGACTGACTCGTCGTGATCTTGAGTACCTTCTTGGAGACCTGCCTCTGTCGACTCTGCTCCTTGATGGAGATCTGTGTCTTCGCGGTGGAGGACTCTTGTGTACAACAGGCGTTTTTTCTCGCTTTTCTGGTACAACCTTCTTGACAGGGGAATCTTTCTTTTTAACCGGCGGAGTTTCATTTCGACTTTTTTCCTGCTTCTTGGGTGAGCGATTCGATCGAGGCTCTTTCGTCGTCGTCTCCGCCTCATCGTTTTTAGACTTTTCCACGGCTTTGTCATGTTTCATAGACTTCTTCGGCCTCTCTGGAGAGCTGGACAATGAAGAAAAAAATTTGTACATAACGCATAGACTTGTTTTTATCGAACTTCAAAAATTATCAGTCTAAAATTTACCTATCCGACGAGCTCTCAGATGACTGATGCTTCCTCTTGACAGCTACTTTTTTCTTCTAAAAGAAGAAGAATATGGATTACTAAGTTAGACAGTGTTATCTAGCGAACACCGATCATGCATATGTACTTGTCAGTAGGATAAAAAAAAGAGATCGCAACTCTTGAAAGATTCGCTGGAGTCTGCTCATTCACTCTAATATAAATTCAATATAGATAAGAATGTATAAAGTGTTTCGGTTAAAGATCGTAACGTGTCTATGAAAAAAAGTTAAATAAATAAAACGTCAGAAGTTGGTAAGTACTAATTTAATTTCTTTGCATTGCACCTACGTCAGAGAACAAGCAGTCTCCTATATTCGTTATTCTCTCGTAAATGTGATGGTGCTTGAGACACAAAACGAGTGAAAAAGGCAACAACAATCGCAAAAGTTTGTACGAATAGAAAAAGTCACAAAATTATTATTACATTGAGTAGCGGCATATCTGGTACTCACTCAGGGAATATATCCTGTCAAATGGCGCTGATAATTACAAACAATACTGAGATTTACACTTTTGAAATAATGACTGTTAACTTGAAATCAGATAAAAATCTTTACAGAAACAAGCAATGAATCATGCTTATTCAAAGTTAGGCGGCAACACAAAACTCTTATAAAATCCAATGTTCAATAAACAACTAATCGGGGGAAAATAAATGAACGCAAAATAGATGTTACATGCTCCTGCTTCACGTGCTAAGGTATAGATATGGATATATATATATAGTCATAAATATGTATATGTATAGAAATAGAGAGAGGAAGATAGAAATTTTATATCTGTTTCCTTCACATTATTTTTCCCCTACCTCGTGCTTTTCTTTTGCCTCCGCCTTTGCCTTCTTCTTCTTCTTTTTCTTTTTCTTCTTTGACTCAGTTTCGGATGAACTACGTAAAAAGAGAATTATAACAATAATTATATGAAAGTATAAACAAACAAGAGATTGTCATAAAAATTGTATTACCTGCTATCATCTGAAGCTTCACTGGTATCGCTATCAGAGGAACTAGCCTCAGTCTTCTTGTGTTTCTTTTCCTTTTTCTTTTTCTTAGACTTTTCTTTTTTCTTGCTAGCCTTTGGCGATTCCGACCTAGGAAATTCAACTGTGGTTATTCGAAAAGTTTCACTAGAAGCAAGTTTAATTTTTGTTTGTTCTTTTATTTTTTTTTCGTTAATATATAGTCTTTTTTTTTTTTAAGTCTTGCAGTGGGCGTCTTCCTGTCGACAAGTGCATACCTTGTGCTGACAATAAAGAAAGCTGTAGTACAACGTATCCGTGTGTGAAACAAATACTTTGTTCTAATGATACAAGCTACCTGCCGCTCTCAACGAATTCGATCAAAAGTAACGAACAAACTCGAGAAAGTAAGAATTGAGAACGCGCAAAATACGACGGTATCTTTTTTTGCACCGAACTATCTCAGCGTCTGGATATATAAAAGGTATTCAATTCAAAAAATGGAAACTAACTTATACAGATATATGTATGTATATGTATAGGAAATGCAGTGTGTAAACATTTCAATTGTTACGATACCGATATAAGAAAAAAAGAAAATGAAAAATCACATATGTATGTATATGTGTGTATATATATATAGATATATATGTGTATACATTTTTTTTTGTCAATCTTTCACTGCAATCCCAAGTGAATTAAGTAATAAAAAAATATAAGTACAACGATACATATACAGGTGAAAGTCACAATATCGGGCTATAGCTAACAAACCGACTACATAATCATTCATTTGAAAGATTTGGTTTTTCATATAGCCTGCGGTGAGTTTCTTTTTTCTTCTTCTTAAACCAGCCGACGTTCAATACCCGGGTATGTAAAACCACATCTTTCAAAAGTTACAAAAGACAAGTATACAAAATATGAGGAGTATTGATATAATATGGGATTAGCATTACCTTGATAACCATCGATAGGGACGGACTTGTCAGAAAAAAATAGAGAGATGACATTAACAACAAGCTTTATCGATAACAACAACAAAGATAGAAATGCATGATTTACGCGTCAGATTTACGTATTACTTGTTATTTGTTAAAAAAAAAAAAACCCGCGTTATTTATTCTCAAAGTAAATGTTTGCCCGTTGTTCCTTTAGATTTTATTCACAATATCCATCGCTAAACGCTAGTAATCACTTTTCGTTACACGGAATTTCTAGTTAACACATAGCAAACATTTACCCTCCAATTGCGCCTATGAGACAAAAATACCTAAAAATAAGGCAACGCATCTTTTTCTTTTTTTTTTTCCGTCATTCTTTTCTCGACACAGAGATTTATTTTATATCGTTTCTTTACTTTTCGAGTGTTTTTTATTTTTATTTTTATTTACTTTCTTTTTTTTTTTGTTTAAAGTAGACGCGACGACCACACTTACCTACTGAGCCTACTGGGTAGGCACTCAGTCCTCCTCAGTTCTGTTTGAAACAGAGAAAGGTGTATGGGACATGAAATAGTAGGTGAGTCATGAGTCAGTATCTGACAAGAGGTGTGTAGTAAGCAAATGAACGAGTGTGGAACTTGCGGTAAATGAATAATTAACGGGGGGGTAGGAGAGGAGCTACTACAGGGGGATGCCTGTTCGGTCTTGGAGCCTGGTTTCGTTCACATTTCCTTCTCACACCACGTAAATGAACTTCCTGATTCAACAAAATGAAACCACATATATAGTATATATATCATTACATTGCACTGTAACATAACAAACAGTAATTAGGTACTATCTTATTACTACTGTACTATAGTATGCTGTAGTATACCGTTATAGTACTACTGCTACGTTATAGTATACAGTGTATCCGTTCCTTCGACGTATACACTCAGACAAAAAAGCCTCCATGCACCCTTTAAAACACGATAACTTTTTTAAAATTGGACCAAACGACTTAAGTTTTTTTGAGAAGTTAGAAGGATTAGTATACTACATGACGTGTCGAAAAAAATTGCAATTTGTGAGAAGAAAAAGGTCACTGTATTTACACCTTTTTTTATCTGAGCTTGTAATGAAAATTTGGAACATACGTTTTGTAGATTTATGTCAAATCGTTTACTCCCTATTTTAAAAAAGGTTACTGTGCTTTAAAGGGTGTATGGAGACTTTTTTTACTGAATGTATACACCATAGTACAATGTAGCAATATAACTACTATAATCTTCCTTTCTTCGGTAGAAATATTTATCCTTCACATTGAATCTCATTGTTGGAACAATGATCAAACATCGAATCCAGCCTCCACTGACCCGTGCACCATTACGTTGTCTTTTACCTTTCCTTCTTGTGCTTCTTCCCCTTTTTCTTTTTGATCGCGCTACCGGACCGTTTTCGTTTCTTCTTCTCCGGCGCGGACGTGGTATCCGGAGCGGGACTCGGTGTTCGTACCAGTTCGTACACTTTACTCGCCGCGGCTCTCGCCTCCGCCTCACGCGCGTGCCTCTCCGGATCTAGGCTACTTCCCTCCACAAAGAACTCCGATATGCCGAACGCTTCGCGCAACTTTGCATTTTTCTCTTGCTGCGCCTCGGCAATCTGGTGTGTTTCTCGTACACTGAAAAAAGATTCACAGTTTTCAGTTCGTTCTCCAATAATCTAATCAAACAAAATCAACAGATATTCGTTCAAAAACACAGTGTAACATTCTAACACAGTAGCGAACACCTAGTCCATCGAGCCAAGATTTTATATATCAGTGACCCACCGTATGCGATCACCAATTAACCACCCCCTCCTCGTGCACACAGTAGAAACACGTGGCGACCGGAAAACAATTCGCCAATCGACAATACAAAATTAGAAAAAACCACACTACACGTTCAAATCCTCTAAATTGAAACCACTCTTCTTTACAAGTGGCACCTTTTGCACAGAAGACGAGAAAATCCGATGAACGAAGACGGAGAGCTGTGCATAAAAATAAACACACCACTGACGGCGGGGGGAGGGAAGGGGTGAACGGGTACCATGACCCATTTCGATATTCTGCTCGAAGTCAAACGAGAAGAGTAGACGAGAGAAACGACGACGGGGGGATGGTGAAAGAAGGACGGAGAAGAACCGGGGGTGAAATTCGTACCGAGTCGAGATTTTCACCGTCATCGTCCCGCGGAATCGTCCAACCTCGAGCTGTCCTCACTGAGCTCGAGTTTCGCGACGATCCATAGAAGAGGAGGGTTCCAACGAAGAATGGAGGAAGATGATGAGGATGATTGACGGCGTGTTACTCCTCGTTGTGACCGTGGTGAACGTCGATGGGAAGAACGTCCGGAGAATGCGGCAAACTAGTGACATAACACGCCGGAGAGAGAGACTGTAACACGGAGGAGAAATCGAGGCGGCCCCTCTTCTACCCCGCGAGTGAAAAGCAGCGGCAAGCAAGCGAGGCCGGGGTCGGTAGAGCCACCCCTACGCCAACGCTTGAGCGCGGATCAATACAATCCAGCTGTTCTCTTTTCTGTTATCCCTTTCGCGCCACTACTTCGCTGGCTGGCTGCTACACGCTCGAATTTAGCGGCCAGCCTTTCTCTCTCTCTCTCTCTCTCTTTTTCTCTTACTCTCTCTACCCTAACCGAAGTCAACCAGCGAAATAATCTTTCTTTTTTTTCACGTCACCCTTTAATCTACCACCACTTTTTATAAGTTACTTCGACTTCGTTCAATCGATGTCTATGAATAATTGTTCTCTTTTTTTTATTTGGGAAAATTGAATCGAAAAATTGATCTGTGAAATTTTTCCTTTTTTTTTTTTAAAAGAAGCGTTGTTTCGTCTGAAACAGTAGGCAATTTTCATGTTTATGGCGGACTGAAGGGGAACAGTTGTTTCCCTTTCGTGAGCAATTGGGGAGGCAACAAAATGAATCACCCCTGAAACGAACGCGGGGAAAGTGTTTGCCTTTTTAATCCCCTTCAATTTTCCCTCTTTTTTTCGTACACATTTTCTTTCTCCTTCTAACGAGTTAATTTCTGAATTGTAAGGCTGTGAAGGATATTGTGAAACGAGTGAATATACCGAAGAGAAACAGCAGGGGCACGTGTGGTGGTATTTTCTCAGATTCTATCAAACTGCGTGCCATTAGAGGTATCGAATATCTTTGTACGACAAGCAGAGACGGTAATCTGCGGTCAGAGAAACCTAATTTCTCGAGTTATCCCTTCTAACGTGGACACGTCGGGAGAGTTAACCCAGATTTAAAAACGAAACGACAAAATTCGAAATCTAATCGACAATTTACAACAGTTCAGATATTTTTCTTATAAAAATTCTAATATTTCAAAATAGCTCTCACTATCGAATCTACTGCAAAATTCTGAATCGAGTCATACGAAGGAAAACTGTCTAGAAAATTGCTCGAGATAGATTCACCTGACGACGGAGCGCATGTTGCTTCGCCGTCCGGCGAGGAGGTGCAGTTGTATGCGCTGACAACAGCAACAATGCTGTCGCATTTGCAGCTGTGCACGCTTCTTTCCATTAGCCGCTTGCAGCTTTCGTTTACGCGATCGTTTCATCACCTTCTGCCGGTCCAGAAAGAAATTTCCCCTCCACAGTGTCTCGAAAAACGCGCGGCCATCCGGTGGACCGCGTCCACGAGCTGGTTTCATTGGAGCCACCGTTACAGACATGTTGTCATTCCCTTCAATTCTACTATCTCGATTAGACGAAAGAAAAACGATTCCTCTTGTGAATACGATCGATTGTTAAAACGTTAAAAACTCCTCTATGAAAGCATATTCGTTTGATCCCTCATATTCTTAAAATTCTCGTTTAAACGTGATTTCCAATTGGACACATCTCCGTTGTATCAATCAATTTTTCATTACAGACAGATAATCGTTTCATCTCGTTCGCCGTTCAATTTGCTCAACCGCCAGCCAGCCACCCCAGGCTACAGGCCTGTATAATTAAAGAGCAGATAATTAGATGAGAATTAAGTACGGATCGGGACGTTAATTTACGCTAAGAAGCTCTGCCGGTTTGGACGACGGTCGTGCAAGTAGCTTCGATGTAGCTTAATCCCCTTCTCGAGGCAAGCTTTGATAGTTTAGGCGGTCCGGAAGAGGGGGATAAGGGCTGAGAGGGGGAGGTGAATGTAATGGCTTCCTCCCCCGATTACACCAGCTCCCGTATTCACAGCAGCTCTGCTATCCTAGCGAGAACAATCATCCGGAGGCGTAGATGAAAACGTCACTTTTCGTCTCCGGATTCCTCTCCTATTCTTCTATTTCTTTTCTCGTCCCCTCTCCCACTCACGCCTTTTTATTCCTGATGGAAAGTTTCCTTCTTCGTCGTTTGATCGATTGTTCCCTCCCAAGAATGTGTAATCGGCGTTGAAAGGATCCTTTTACTTTTTTTCTTATTCTTCTTCTTAAGATTAATCTTCTCTGCTATTTTCCTTTAATGCAGTATTTTCCTTCTTTTTGTCAAATCTAGTTTCGTGTATATTTAACGGTACGTGTGTATATTTATATATATATTATGTAGTGTAAGAATATAGGAATATATGTCGTAATTTAGCTCTAACCTTACACGCTAAGGAAGACTTCAGATCAGGCACACTAATCGTCACGCTTCGACAATGTCAAAGCAGGACCAGCTTAATTAATATTATCGTCGACACGTCGACCTGGAGACACATGGATTTTAATCGTAGACAAAAAAAAACCTTCGGATTCCTTCGGCTATTTCTTCGACCCTTCTCTCTCCCCCTCTCTTTCTCGCTGGATCGATCCGAGACACGTGGGGATTATCTTCTTGGCAATATTCGGCGTGCGTCTTTCTCCCCTTTTGCGTTTCCCATTCACAGAATTCTCCTTATCCTTCGTAATTTCTCTGCTGAGTTTCTTGATCGGTGGAATTTCGATAACAGACGTGGAACTCTTTCCAATTGAACGAAAATCTTCGTCGAAGTTAATACGATGTTCCTCTTCTTTTATCTACGTACCTTAAAGAAGACTTTTGTGATTTGTTCGCTTGCGAGCGTATCACTAAATCGTTACATGTTCCCTCCTTTCTTTTCTTTTTTTTTTTTGGTGGTGGTTTTCAATTTCTTTCTTTTCTTTTTTCTTTTGTTGCTGTAAGGAGGAGTCGATTACTCCTGAATTATTGGCCGACGATTATTCGTATACTCGACGAGAGTCGACGACGCGTTGCGTCGCAACGCCGGTCCATCCTCGCACTGAGGCGGAAACAGTCGAGTGCGAGGGATGCTGGAACAGAAATCTCCCTCTCTCTGCTCGTCTCTTCCACGTATCTCTGTTTCTCTCTCTGTGCGACCCCGTCTTTCCTTTTTCGTGGGTGGCGCCGGCGCTATGGGGTACGTCGATATCGGCCGCAGTAATACCCTCGAAAGCCGGCTAGCCGGAGAGAAACGCGACCGAGTCTCCACCCTCCAATAATATTGGGTTTAGCAGGAACCTGAGCAGCTACCGATCCACAGGCTTCGACATTGCGTTTACACGAGCTCCTCTCACAGCGATTACTATCAGATCCTCGTCGTCGAGAACTCTCTCTCGTGATCTATACATCACACGGTTTTCGAATGCACGCGCTTTAATGAGTCGTTTGAGACAAGTAATTGAAATGTAGGATTCGAATTTGGTATTTTTTTTTTTTTCAATTGGGAACAATTGGGAGTCTCTTATGTGTAATTTTTTGTTGGGTTTTTTTCTTTCTTTCTTCTTTTAGTATAATTAAATCGTCGAAACAGGCAGACAGTATTTTCATGCAATTCAATTTTACAAAATTATTTGTTGTGTGTTGTTTTTATGATCGAAGTTCGTTTATTTGATGAATATTCGGTATTGTAGAGTGTATAGAGGGATGAAATGTACTTACTTTACGCGGCCAAATTCATCTCTAGGTATTGCTGGCTTGGTGTCTGTTCCCATTAACATGGATCTGTATGATTCTACTTTCTTTGTTACCTCTTCTGTTGTAAATCTATAGAGCACAATGAAAACGTGAATAAAGTTGAATTTGATCATTTGTTTGAACATAGATGGTAAGCTAGCCAAGAAATAACACTGCATAGAAAGAATACATTGAAGCCAAAGGTAAGCCAAATCCAATTGAAGTTTAGAATCTCATTTAGTATTGAGTTCAAGGAATCAATGAAGCTTCATGCTCCTATCATATGCATGAATATATAATCTTTAAACTCATTTCTGAGAAACATTTTTTTATTTTTTAGGGTAGTTATGGTATTACAATAATGAGATTTGTATTGTGCTCTTATATTGTGAGAAATATATGCTTACCCTTGTTCCTCTAAAATGTCTGCTAATTCTGCACATTTTACTTCTACTTTTCTTTTTCTAACATGGTCAAGAATTTCTTTGTTAGGTTGCTTATTAAGCTGGTCTAGTTTTCCCTCATCAGTTTTATAAGTGACTTTGTCTTTTGTCTTTCGTACAATTGCCCAATTCCTTTGAACATGCCCATTAGTCCCAGAACCACGCGGTGTTTGTAACCCAATTCCATTGTACATCTTGTATTACACCTGCAAATATGGAGTATAAAAAGCTTTTAAATAGGAGATGCATATTGCTTCAGAAATTTGATAGAAACAAACATGCATAAATAAATTCTAAAAAAACAAAAGCGAAGAAAAACACTTAAATTCCGACTGCATTTATGTAATTAAATAAGTTCATTCATGTTTGTTATGTCAATACATGGACTGTTTCCATATATTTAAGTTTACAAAAAAAGCAACAGATAAAAAACGTATAATGTATATACATCGCTCGGATTATATGGTCACAAGGATCAAAGGAGCAACTCTATACATAATATAGATTAATGATATCTTAACAACGAATGACAGCGAATGCACAATAGACATAGCGGTTACGTTCGGAAACCTGAATAAAGATCATCTTTATCGCGGCCGCAGAACGCGTTAATAGAATTCTTCCAGGCGTTCAACGTGAAATATTAACTAAATCGCGACGAATCGATCGACAATATGACATGATTGAACTAATAACTTAGGAGGGAGCGGGAAGGTAGGTTAGAATAAAATACACGCAAATCAATTATCGATCCGGTGAACGCTGCGCAAATTTTACGAGCGCCTATTACGCGTTATTGTAGAACGTTACCTTTGCATTAGTGACACCACTGACAATCTTGTTGTGCCATCCACGCAACTGTCGATTTTCCGACTCGCTCCAGAACGAAACCGATTAGCGAAAAACAACGAGCACCGCGATTTCCGTCGCGTTACCGTTTCACGCGGCAGCCTCGCGATGTACCGTGCGGTAGCGCCACTGTTTTCAGAAGCGTAGAACTAGGAAAATTACTTTGTACGCTCTAGATTCCGTACGAACTGCATTTTTCTTTCATTGTTCGATCGCACGAAATGCATTGCGTTTCAATTGATAATACCGATGTCAAGGATAAAATAGCATTTATTTAGTGTATTGTTACATTCAAAATTTCGATAACAAGTGTTGCATAATTGATTGCATCAATTTATGTAAATTACATTGCGCAGTCGCATCCTCGTTTCAAACGAGCGTGTAAGACTAGCAGAAAACATTAAGCTTGTCATGAGGTAACGCACGTGGAGTAACAGGATGTAATCAATATTATATTTATCAGTAAATTGATATGTTTGTAGTAATTTTACAACGATACGTTATATTTACTTTTGAATAATCTTACCGACGATCAGCTTTGTAGAAGCAAATAAGAATAAAACTGTGTATTCCTAACCTTCGATATCGGATTTATACTGCGAAAGGGAAATTACCTTATTTCTACAAAATGATAGAAGTTAGCGTAGGAGATATAGTAATGCCTGGTGATATAGTAAAAGATATCAAGACAAGTAATAAGAAAGAAACGATTATCTTGGGACCTGGTCTTCGTCGTGAAGCTGATACAGTATTTGCGTATAAAGCAGGTGTATTAAGGAAAACAGAACCGGCTGTATATTATGTTGACAGTTATCAAAAACGGTAATATAATTTTATCTAAGAGTGTCCTTTTATAGTATTTAGAATAGAATTTACATAAAGCATGATTATTTTTTTATAGTTATGTACCAAACCGTGGAGAAAATATAGTTGGTATAGTAACACAAAGAGGTGGTGATATTTTTAAAGTAGATATAGGAGCTAGTGAACAAGCATCTCTTTCATATCTTGCATTTGAAGGTGCAACTAAAAAAAATCGTCCTGACATCCAAGTTGGAGATCTTGTGTTTGCCAAACTTTTGGTTGCCAGCAAAGATATGGAACCAGAACTTACATGCATAGATTCTCATGGCAAAGAAAAAAATTTAGGTGCTTTAAGCTCAGATGGCATGCTCTTTACTTGTTCCTTGAGCTTGATCAGAAAAATATTAAACAAAAATTCTCCCTTGTTCAAAACACTTGCACATAGTCAAGCATTTGAAGTTGCTGCTGGTATGAATGGTAGAGTTTGGGTTAAAGCAAGGACTATTCAAGAAACAATAGCAGTGGCAAATGCTATTTTAGCAGCAGAATATGCTGCACCCAATGATATAAAGAAATTATGCTCAGATATTGAAATGACCCTACTTCTAACACAAACAGCCAACACAGATGAAATGCAATAAAAGAAGCAACCAATGTTATGAATGATTATTTATTGTATCAATATTTTTAATGAGTTTTATAAATAAATCTGTATGATTTCTTATATGAAATATTATGATTATAATGACAACCATTGTGACAACCATTGTGATAAAAATGTAGAATTAGAACTATAGTAGTACATACATTATTAAGTATGGTGGTCATGTATATTGCTATATTAGTACAATGAAATCGCGAAAAATACTACGGTTAATGGATATTGTTAAAAAAAATATGAGTTTCATACTACTTACATTTCTCATTCTGATTGCAATTTAATAATGTACATTCATTCAATGGATAAATCATGTCTTGATAACACAGTACAATGAGTAAATAAGAGTATTTTTATGAAATCAATGTTATAAAGCATGTTTTGTCTAATAATTTTGTAGGCTACTTTGTAAGTTATAAAAAAGATTAGCATGATATATATGTTTAATGATTGCAATCAGTATCTAGATGTAGAAGTGAATAAACTGATGTGTTCTCCCTTCTGATATGTGACTAATATTTGTCTTTTATTATAGTATGAAAGCTAATCACTAACTAATGATAGTATCAGATATTCAAGCACAACCTTGACTTTCTTTATTTTTTCCACAAAAATACTTAAACAATTTTTAAACCAAGCACGTTACATTTTCATATTTTTCTTTTTTAATACAGGATTTGTACGTGATGGAATGTGCATTGTTCATAGTTTATAAAATAAACCGTGAACATGTCAATATTAGGAAAACATTTTTCTAAACATTATAGCCACGTATAATGGCGATGGAATGGATTCATACAGTAGTTTAAAACTAAGATAACGCCGATTCAGCGCGAACAATTCTATATGCACATGGAGTATTATTAGATTTTTAATAACAATAATGTGACACAGTATACTCAGCATAAATTAAATAAACTAATATAATCAAGCGTGCATATTTAACAATTTATACAAAATATAGAAACAAAACAATAATGTGTATATTATATACAAATTTTGCCTCCTACATATGTTTTTGCTCTTTTCCTTCCGTTTTTTTACAAAACAAATAATCGTGTAAAGAAATTACCAAAATCGCTTTGGCTAATACATAACATAACTGAATAATTCAACACAGAATTAATACCAAGATTAATACTTATTCTCTATAACATTATTCATGGAGATATCATTATAAATCTCTTTTATCATCACTTAATGTAAGGATGTTAAACTAATATTATTAATCTAATAGATAATGACATGACAGATGTGTAGTTTTTACAAAAAGTAAACAATTTAGAAACATTTAGCATTTACAATTACTATCTGTAAATACGCATGTCATGTAAAATCTCGTACAAGAAACTGAGCTTTTTGTACAAGAGCACAACCAACTTGAAGCTTTTTGTAAAAACCACATTGAGTTTCCTGTTTTCTGGTATGTCATAGGCAAGCAATATGTATGTTAGGGACGATTTATGGTGCCACCAGCAACCATTATACTATTCTATGGTATTGTGCTTTACTTAATACATATTCCACATGAGTGTACTATGTGAAGTAAATATATTAATGTAATACATTTAACTACAAAGGTATAATGATAACTGTTATGCACACGCTGTGCTTAATAGCTTTTGTATTTCAAAGGTGAATGATTATCAATGCAAAAAGAATTAAATGAAAAAAGTGAATAGATGAAATAAAGAAGCACTTTTAATTTATAGTATAAACACAAAATATCTGCCATTATCACTGTAGTCACAGATTTAAGTTTACAACGCGGTAATCTAGCTCATAAAAATATATCTATTTTACACTGTTATAGTATCTGATCATTTTTTGGTATAGGAAGATAAAAACCTTTTGTATTGCAAAATTAATCTTAGCAATGGGTGCTGATGTCAATATTAGTACAGTAAACCATTTAGAATACTTAATTAAAAACAAAAAGATAGTTATTTCGTATGACACTAAAAAAATACTAGTACTCTCACTACGAAAAAGAAGAATCGCGATTACCTTACTATTTACTCTTGTTTCTAATGATATTACTTTATCGATTGTATTCCTAATGTAATAAAAGTATGAACATCCTATGTTGCATAGGTAGATATGCAGATCTTCTATTGTATGCAATGGCAGAATTCTAAACCCAGAGGACTAAGCTTTACCGTTAGTTTTCATAGCAGCCGGTAGTTATAAGAATAATTTTTCACTTTATATACCAAGTAACATTTATACTTCTTTTTTATCAGGCTTTACCATGTCGTTAATGCCACTAAATGCAAAACCTATGCCCTCACCAGACAGCTTTGATAGAGACAGTTAAACATTTAAATTACAGTACACCTATTGTTATATATGTCAGCAGAAGTATGTGATTATAGTTCTATTTGAATGTGCTTGAGATATGAAGGGTCGTGTTTTAAAGTAACATGACGTATTATTGTTGTATTTCTTTTAAATCAAACGTAATTATCAGCAGAGAAAAAGAGCACAGTTGTTATGCATGTATATTATCAGTTTTTAAGAGTATTGTGTTAAAATTTGTAAAAATGAAGATTATTTTATACAATCTCTTACAGAAATAATGAAGAACACGACTCTTCTAAAAAGAAAGAGGAACATGATATTCTACATGAAATACGTTTTAATGAGCAAGTCTACTAGATCACTCTCGAAGCTCGATATCATAGCACAAAATTACCTATATGAATATGTAGATAAATATTCATCATTGCATTTCAGCATATTATAAAATTATTTTTCATTAGCGCGTATATATACCATTCACAACACAGAGTGCATAGTACGAAGCCGAATTGAATCTGTTCACCCCTATGAGATTATACCGAAGGGAAGAACAGATCATAAAGCTTCAATGTAACAACGCACAACCAATATTTATACAACCTGCGTGCACCAAATTGCTTTTTGTCACATTCTTATATCGACAAAAGCAAGAATTAACTTACGTAATTGTTTTAAGTAGAATCGTTAAGGTATTATGTTTCTCACTTTATGAGCTTTACTAGTAACGTATGAAAGACTAATACAGACGAGAATCAATTTCCACAACCATTTCCATATTCATCACTTAAGGTGTCCTAACAGAAATTAATTAAAAAAAGTAATAGGAGTAAATGAATATATCTCTTGGTGTTTTTCCTGAGAAAAATTTCATTCAAAATATTCAAAATTAACATAAAAATAAATTTGTTTTCGTATTTTTTCCTCTTTACTACGAAAAGCCTCAAGACTAAGCACTCACTATTACAATTTTAATAATAATATATTTTACATAATGACAAATTCTGATATGGTACTACGTGTATATTGTGGAAAATAACTATGTATCTGTTTGTACAGGAAGAACTTTTATCAAAATCATCAACCTCTTATTGATTGACTAAGTTTGAATTTTGTATGCAATTTGAACGAGACGATAATATCTTTCATAAAAAATGAATATCTGGAAAAGATCTGTTTCAACAATCGATTTATCAAACTTGCTTCTATCAAAGGTGATATCCAAAATATTTTAACTTATTCTACTTTTGCCCCTATATTTACCGCTAATATGAATGGAATGTATTTAACCGAATGTATGGTGTTCATGAATAATTCTTACTTGCTGAATATTTTAGAGATTGTTTAATGGATCTTTTACTTCCCTAAAAAGTTTATATACCGAAACTTATTGTTCATGGAATTGTGCCGTTTCGTATTTGTGAAGATTTGTTTTTGATGAAATTTGATTTTATAGCTTTTCATAATTCAGTAGCAGTGGATATTGCATTTGTTATTAAGGTAGTGCAAAAGCATGTTGAAGCATTAGACATATTTGAATGATCACATGCAAAGATACAAATCTGAGGAATATAATATTACTACAAATAACGTTAACATAGTAGAATCACTTTTACAACTGGAGCAGTATGATTTTTACACAGTATACTCTCTGATTCACAGGATTTTTCCAGAAAGAGCATATGGTGCATTGAGTTTAGTAATATTAATTTTCTTTGGAAGAAAACATTACGAAAATATTCTCTAAAAAAACAAAAAAAAAAAACAAATGCATTCTTATAACAATAAATAAAAAAACAATAATCTTTGTAAACACACAAAAAAGGAACTTTTTTACCAACGACTTCTGCACACCTTAAAACGGCAGTAAGCAAGCCTTTATCGTACCTCGCGTCTGACAAAATCTGTTTAATCGGATGATGTGTGTTATTGGCAAAGGTCTTACTTTCTGCATAATATTGTCCGTTAAAATTTCATTTGTGTTCGGTGATAATGGTTAAAAATAATTGCGTAAAAAACATGTATTCATGCAGAATGTAAGACGAATATTTGCCGCTTATATTAATGTCATGTGATCTCAGATTCTCAGAAATTTTGTCTTTTGTTCTTAGAATTACAGTCTTACTAAGAATATTTTTTTTGGCTTACAGGAGTTCTTTACTTTAAGCTCGATTACTGAGCAATAACATCGATTTTTTATGTTAGAACATCCTGATAAACATTCTCAAAAATGTGCTACTCCATTTCACAAAACCTAGCAGAGTCTTACATATGCTTTGAACACTTTACGTTGTATTGTAAGTGAAAAATTTACTTCCTTAGAATACTCGAAGTGTATGATGCATCACTCAATTTCCTGACTATAAACATAAATTTCCATTCTTGCGATGATTATTATTATTTTCATCGCTTACCTGAATCTACACATTGCGACACTTGGCGGATTCGAGGCCTCTTGTAATTCCAGTTACTTACGTTTAAGGTGACACATAAACTGTGCTCAAGCCACTTGTTAATAAAAATTAGCCAAGGAAATTTAAATATTTAATCGCTAAAGTCGCATAGGTTGCACAACGCTGTTATTGTTTAAGCGTGTAGTGGTTTGGTTGTTGAAATTTTCATCTTGCGGTATGTGTTCTGTTCTTTCGTCGAAAAATCCTGGATTCAGAATGATATTGGGTACAAGTTCAATCACTTCCTGCGCCTCCAGCTGCGCTGCAATTCGGGAACGGAGATTAATTTTCATTGGTCTGGGCCACGAGTTATATTAGCTTCTACCCTCTCCCTTTACCAGTGTTTGCTGGGCCACGAGCATTTAGAAACATTTCATGATGTATTAACAATTGAATATCCTAAGTTAAAATTAAATATTTATTCGATGTATAATAAACGAAACCGCTATAAAATATATCGGGGATACTTTTTACTTGTACGAATACGTTTCTTACCCAGCAAATATATATGTGCTACCTTTGACCTAAGTTATATACATAGTCAAAGATATACTAATAGCACATAATGTTATCTAGGCCATAATGCTCTATATTACTATCACAATACTCTCTATTCATGACACTAATCATTCTGCATAACAAATTTTATACAAACCACCAAAGCTTATTAATCCCAAACATGACAGTAAAAATTAGGGTAAAAAGTTCTTTGTATAGACGGAGTAAGTTTGGTGGTTGATAAAGTCCATTCATAAGTTATAGGTTTCATTCCTATAAAGGAGTATGAAAGGTGCTACTGACAGGCAAACTGTATAGAAAGATAAAAATATGTTACAGATTATTTTAGTGCCTTATGTTGTAAAGTGTTTAGTGCAAAAGTTATAAAAGTGTTATTGTTAATTTGGTATTGGTATGAAAATTTATTAAATGCTAGTAAATTTTAAATGTTAAATACTAGAATATTCGTTAATGCTAATAAATTTGCAGAGCGCTTGCAGTAGGGAAATATTAGTGAAAGATAATTGGCACTGTATTAGAATAGCACTAAATTGATTGAAAGGAGAATAGCTGATGTAAAGAAAGCTAGAGATCAGGGCCATAGATAAGTTAAGTGGTTAGTGATGCTATCGTTTCTGCTGCAGATCTTGTCCTCTAGATAATTATGTTAATATATTTACTTTAAGAATTAAGTGATCTAGCATATTCTACATTAAATTATTTGCATGAAAGGAAGTGAGTTTCATCAGCAGAAATAAATAGCATGAAAGAGAAAGAGTAGAAGCAAAAGCTTTTAGATAAAGTTACCAGGAAATGCTTACAGGGTACTTTGCACTCACGATAGAGAAGGTAACAAGTACCTATACCAAGAATCATAAGTGTACCCATAACTATGCCTACTGCTGCCACCCAGACGCGAGTGTCAAAATTTTCTACACCTGCTAAGAGATGTCTTGCAAGTTCTGAAATAATTGTCAATTATAAGCTACAGTATTCATTTGATATAAATATTAATTTGTTTACATGCAGAAACATATCTTATGAAGTTGTTAATATACCTAATTCCTCAACACTGTGATGAGTATGACCTTCAACCTCAACAATATCTCCTCTTCCCAGCTGATTTGTTGCCCACACTCGAAAAGAATATGTAGTGTTTGGCACCAAGTGATACACATCAATTTGCCTCTATAAGAGCACTGGTTAAAATAACAATTATTGGTCATATAAAAATGAGTTCATTAAAAAAAGAATCATTTACAGAATTTGGAGGAATGTGTGCTGGAACAATAGGCTTCCAGTCTTCTGGTTCTTCACCCACATTTGGTTTAAGACGATATTCGGCAGTGAAATCTATGATAGGATAACCACCTGTGCCAACTACTTCCCAAAGAATGTTTGCCAATATTGTAGATGGTTTTACCCATACATTATGTAAAGCTGGAGGAGGAGCTAAAAATACAATTAATTTTTTATATTAATATTGTAATTATTTTAAAATTGCAATTAAATTTTAATAACTTACTTCTAACTTGTACATTGATTCTAGTTTTGACAGCATCATGATCATCATCTAAGGTGCATGAATAGTTTCCACCATCATCTGCACTAACACTAATAAGTTCCAAAGCTCCATTAGGCTCAACCTTTAGTCTTTCAATTTGTCCATCTTCGCGTCCCTCCCTTATCCACATCACTCCAACAGATTCTCCTAACTGTGGCAATGCATCTTCGTCTGCACATGCTAAGGTCAGGTTCTGACCTATGTCTACAGCCACAGATCTTATTGGCACTAAAGTAGCTGCTTTGTGCCATGCTAAAGATTGTAAGAGATTATTGAGTTTACATTGTCTATTCTTTTTACAACTATTCTAATATATTTTAGATAATATATTAAACATATAAAAGATATATCTAGCTAAAACGATAATTTAATGTAATATTATTAATAAAATTTTATTGTTAGAGCAAAAATTAAATATAATAAAATATTAATCCTTTGTAATTTTATTGTGCAAATACATAGTTAAACAATTGTTGACATGTTTATTAATACCTATCAAAATTATATATACCACTTTGTGATCGATAATTCGCTTGTTTTAGTATAAAAAGAATTTATAAAAAGTTACAATTCTCAGGAACATCGGACGAACTAATCGTAGTTTATTGTGCTCAGTGAACGCGTTTGACCCGCTGTGTAATTTTACTTAAACGAAACATATTAGTTAAAACAAACAGTATATGTACTGTAAATTTTCACGTTAGCAACATAAATTGATAGAATGAAATAGAAAAATTGCAAACTATTGTGTCGTTCTGCTGTTCATTTCGATCGAAACACCTGAAAGATGCAAGAACAAAAATCACATAAAACGCGGATCAGACAGTCGGGAAATCGAGATACACGGTAAAATTTGCATAACTCGACCCTGAATCGTAACGATCGTACACTTAGCCCGATTTATACGGTGCACGTATACAAGCGCACAAAGACCGAACGTATAGTATCACATTGATCCGCAGGTGCACTTACGTCTGAACGAATTTTTCCTTCTTACCTGCCAGAAAGAGTATCAGCGTGATAATTCTATGACCAACCATTCTCCCATATTAGACGGTCTCGCGTGGATGCATACGGAAACGTGTTAAGGATATTTTCTTGGCCGCATTTCTTGATCGATTTTTTACTTTTAAACAACGCTCAGTACGCGGGAGCTGTCAAACTCATCACGCTTCGCGGAACACCGCCCGTCCGGCGCTCTTTGGATTTTATTGAGTTGCTGTTGGCGCACTCTTGCGGTGATGCTTCAAACCTTATTAAAAAGCAGGGTTGCAACTGCATCAAAGCCGAAAGTAGCAGCTGCCGTCTGTGTAAATATGTTGAAAGATCGGAATATAAAATTTAGGTATATATCGATGGTATGATACCGGTTCGGTAAATTGAATGGCATTTAATCGATAATAATTTTTCATCCGCGAGCCTTTACATTTCAAACTGCGATCATTTCGAGCGATTGGAAAGGTCTAGAAATGACTAGTTACCTCGTTAAATTGGATCACTGCACGCGGGAACAAGTGTATCGATACTCGCATCAGAACTGGTTGAATCTGCTTTACTGATTGAGGAAGAGCTGCTCCATATTTTCCTCTATCTTCGTCGAGATTAACCAGACAAAAACGATAGACACCTCGCAATGGGATAATCGCGGTAGTTGCGTATGATTGCTCGCGTTTGTATGTGTGCATATGTGAAACACAACTATTGTACAAGTGAAACCGAGGAGAAACAAGAGGACTAGTTGAAATCTGTCGCTGAATTGGTATGTACGTGCATGCATGCCACACGCGACACAACGTAACCATGATCGATTAGTTTTTCAAAGAATTTAACTGTTAGATCTATTGCCAACTACGTATTTCCGCTTATATAAAAATACGGATTGTTGGCGACACACAAATTATCTATTTTCATGCATCGAACATCCTGATTTTATATAACAATGAAAAATATATTATCCCGTGTTGGTAGCGGCATAAACATTACTTTATAATTGTATATGTTATTATCAAAGACACATAGTGAAACCTGTTGTAATTGTATCAAATATAACGTAGTTATTACATGTTCTTTGCTTCTTGTTAATGACGTACATTATTTTTCTCCTTTCGATTACCATTCCCCGCGTTTATCCATTCTTTTTCATTTGCTTCGAAGGAATATTAATTGAAATAAGACCGTTATAATTGTTACTTTCCTAAACGCAAGAATCCTGAAACCTGCTTAAATAACATTGTTCTGTCTTAAATTCGACGCTATCCACCGTCTTTATCACTTTCCTACCGTGCAATTATTTTGCATCGTATTCTTATCACACAGCAATTTGAATAAGAAGCTAATAAAACGTGTACATTAAATCCATGTTTTCCCCGCATAGTTAATTTTAATCGAGTATCAACTTGTACGTAAGACAGCAACATTTAAAGACGTTGAAATTATCGTAATTTTAACGTTACTTAAGTAATTCTATGTTATTAATAAAATTCATATATTTAGCACTGTTTAAAACTTTCCTAATTTTGCGCAATTCAACAAAATCGAAATAGCACTTTTAATTAAAGAAATAAATCAAAATACAGCGGCAATCTTTCATAGTACGTGCGTCATACCGATTTATATAGGTTTAGTTATTTATGCGTATCTATATCGCACGAACGTTTAAAGGGTTACAAAGCCCCGCTGCGTCGTTGACACTATATCATATGTTCTCTCCATCTTTGTCTATGTGACGTAACTAGTGACGTCAACAAATTGGGAGATCGATTGAATTCAAACGTGCTCAAAAATGCTGATCCTTGAAACGCAGATATTTTTACTTTTCAGCCGTTTCAATTCGATCGATTCAATTCGAATTTCAAAATTTACGATATAAAAACTTTGAAATTTAAAAATAATGAAATTAAAAATTCCAAAGTTTAAAAATTCAAACTTTCAAAATTTTTAATTTAGGTATTTCGAACTTACAAAATTTCAAGTTTCATATTTAAAAATATTTACATTTCAAGTTTCGAATTAAAAAATTTCGAAATTTCATATATGAAAACGATTCGTCACGCTTAAACTATTGAAAATCTTTTAGAAAAACTCGCTTCAATTTCTTTCCCGAGTACATTCGAAAACCTCCGCTTCACTTTTCATTCAGGATTCATTCCTGAATGTTTCGCGTCGCGTTAGTACATACACCACGCCAAGGTGGTACATCACTCTTAATTATCGCGGATTGTAATTAGCTCCGTGGACACGTGGTCTGCGGTGGCATTCATTTACACCGGAGGACGAAATTAATTACGTCAGCCGACACATGAATTCCAAGAGGTATCGGAATTATAGCATTCATGTGGATTATTATTACCTCGCATGGAAATCTCTTACCCAACCGTTTTCTTACATAAACCCAATTATTAATTAACGACGTGCGAGAACATTAAAAAAAAAGAAAAAAATCCTGCTAATTAATTCCTATCATATTCCCACTTCTTCGCGTTCTCATAGAACGTTGTTAATCCTCGATTAATACGCGTTAATTCGAGATCCATCCTCTCTCCCCCACCAGAGATAATGTTTCTCATTAAATTGAACGCGAAGTGCTTCGTGCAAGAATAGTCTTGCAAATTCGCCTCAATGTCAGCTTAATGCACTTCGTTAATAACGAACCGCGAAGGGGGCTAATGCAAAACGATGGCACGATAACATGTAACGAGGGTAATGCAATCCTCTTACAGTAATTTCTATCTAAAGAAGTGAATACATACGAGAGTGGAAGGTACGATGAACTTTCCATAGCTGTTTTAATCGTGTAGAGGGAAAAACGTGCCTAAAAATAATTCATCGATATCTCCTTTATCCACCTCGTCTCTCCCCGTCTCTCCTCACTCTCTCTCTCTCTATTCGAGAGGGTTTCGAACATAGCAGTTAATTACAGGTCCGACGATCCGTTATTTAGAGGTACGTATAATTCCCTCTGGATCAACTGTATCGTCACGCCTCTCCGCCCTTGTTATATTGAAATTGAATCGTTCCAATTTCCAACCGTCGAATCACTCTCCTGTTAGAGATTCTCCACCTCTCCTTCTCTTGTACGTGTTAATCGTGAATAGATGCCGATAGGCAGGGTTCACTCGTGGATGACATTTTCCTAGGTGCAGTTTAACGTTTTCACGCTGCACGGATGCAATTTACACACAGTCTTTCATGCCGCTGTTGCGTTAATTAAGTCCTGCGGGACTTGGCCTTTTGTGAAACCGTTGCTCGGATTTCGGGATCGAACAGTTACGTCTGAGCTAACTGTATGAGAAAGGGAGACGAGATGTATCATTGATCAGTTGAAGAAACTTCAGAATTCTCTTCTTTTTTTTTTCAGAACTTCATCCCAGGAGGATGAAGTAATTCAGGAAGTCTCTACTTTGATCCTCATCTTCGCATTCTTTTCGTATGAAGAATTTTTATGAACATCTTCACCGTGATATTGAGACTGCGAATGCGGAGAATTTTTTAGTAACGAGATTGTAGAAGTTGGGCGAATAAAATAATTATCTTTGCGGGAGATATCAGTGGAATAGGCGTACGATGGTCAGACAATATCAATCTCTGAACTAACAATATCTGCGTTAAAATAAATATTGTTTCAAGCATTTTTGCAAGATTGTCAAGGAAACTATCGCGAACAACATAACACGCAACAAACACGTTATTGTTCCAATAAAAAAAAAAAGAGAAACAGTAATATCAAAGGTGATCTTTACGCGGAAGTGGTAGTACCATGGTCTCACAATTACCAGCGTATCAAGATTCAACCTCATTTACAATCCACGTAACGCGAAACTATCACGATGCATCCTTTCAACCTGTATAGATCTGAAAAACTCGTGACGAGATATCGATGACATTTCGAAAACAATTCCTCGCTACCTGTGTGTGTGTCCATCGTGAAATTGCGCGTAAATTGGAACGTTCGTTAAAAAACAAAAAAAAATACAATGAAACGAAGAAGAAGGAGAGGGGAGAAAAAAAGGGTTTCCATCGACCTAGTTTCGCTTTCGTCTCGAGTTACTTTCATTACGCCCTCCGCCGCAAACCGAAAGGATTTCCGCGTAACTTTCCAATTACGACTGCGGCCAGCTGAATGAGAAACGCTCGACCATTTCGTTGATTCGCTGCCGCGATACACTTCGATTTTCCTTTCTTCTTTCATCTCTCCTTCTCTCTCTCTCTTTTTCATGTTTTTTTCAGCATTTCACCTCGCCCGGGACCCGCCTTCCTCGCCTCCTGCGCGATGTATACATACGTTTACAGCCGGATGTCGGGCTCTACCTACGGGCACCTAGGCCAGGAGGGTGGAAACACTTCGACCCGTCCTCTCGAAATGTCAAAGGTTGCCGCGCAAGGCACATCGACGTATCCCCGTTTTCCAGGAGCCGGGAGACGCGATCTGTCCCCATTGTCCCTGCTCTATCGTCGGGCAATAATTATCATCATTTTCATTCTGCGCGATTTCATGACTGAGACCCCTTTCACAACCTGGAGATTCCGTCGTCGATCGAAAGTTACACGCTCGTCGCACGTTCCATGGGAAAGCTATTTTCAAATTTTCGCGAGAGTAGAAATTCTTTTGGATAGAAATTCGAGGTTTATTGGAGCTTTCCAGGGGTTAAGAGAAACGATTCTTCATTTCCCTGCTCTATCGTCAGGTCCTTCAGGCAATAATTATCGTCATCTCTTTGAGAATAGAGATAGAAAGTTACAAGCTCGTCGCTCGATCTATGAAAAAGCAATTTTCAAATTTTCCCGAGAGTAGAAATTCTTTTAGATAAAAATTCGACGTTTATTCGAGCTTTCCAGGTGTTAAAAAAAGCGATTCTTCGTTGTCCCTCCTCTATTATCGGGCAATAATTATCACCGTCTCCTTTCTGCGTTACTTTATAAACGATTCCCTTTGAGAATATGGATACAAAGTTACACGCTTGTCGCTCGTTCCATGAAAAAGCAATTTTCCAACTTTGAAGTAGAAAATTTGCATCTTGGAAATTTGGAAAAAGTTAGGAAAAATGAAGAAGTAGATCTAGTCGATCTATTTTAGAAGGAACTCTCAACAATCGAGAAGATAGAAAAGTTTGCAATGTTTGAAGCAAAAAGGTACACCTAGTCTACTCGATTTACAGTTCTATTTTCGATCTTCACTCCTGGTTTCAATCTCCCCGGTAATTTCACTTCTTGCGTGATTTTTTTAGACGAGATCGGTATCTTTAGAGAAATTCATTTTTCATGACTCACGGTAAGCCAAACTCTATTTGTTACGTCAACGAGACGTGAACGGAAATAACGTTTGTTTACAACGAACGATTTCTGGCGATCGATTCGAAAGCCAATAGTAAATTGCGTTGGCGTCACAGCGCAAAATCAACGCCACCGACCAGGTCCTCCTGAGGAGATTAATTATTTCGTTTTCATTCGACGGTCAATTGAATTTTCTCAGACCTCTCTCGTTTACCCGCTCCTGTAAATTAGTTCTCGTTTCCCTTGGAATCCAGATGACGACGACGACGACGAAGAAAAAAAGCACACGGAAGTCCAGTTGCTCTTTCTTTCTTTTTTTTTTCCCCCACTTTTCCAGACTAATTATAACGATCCACCGCCGCGCTTTTCATTATTTTTACCGCGCGCTCTTTTCTTTCTCCGCAACGACCGACGCCTTTTCTCTCCGCCTATTTCAGATTAGAACTTTTCTCGTTTCGTATCTCGATGTGATATTTCCACACCCCTCGCTGTCCAAACTATCGCACATACTTATGCTCCTTGAACTTTTCAAGTTTACAACTTTGCGAGTCGTAAAAATTTTAGAGGCTTCGCCTGAAATTGCACGCGACTAATGTCAAAGGTTCCGAAGCCTACGTTGAGTTACACTATAGGCGAATTCTATTGAAAGGTGTCGCTTGATACGGTGGACATTAAATGAACGTTATCTGTGCACTTCCGTGTCACTGCTCCTTTGCATTCTGTCGTGAACTTTCCAAAGCACGTCATCGTGCAATTTTCGTAGACTTCGTGAAATTAGGGTTAAACGAATAGAGTATATACGAAACTGTTCGTTTCACTTCTCCAAGTTGTTGGAAATTTCTCGCTGAACACGTTTCTACAGAGAGTTTTGTTATTTCACTTTTGGCGATGTAAGTTTATGAGATTTTTTTGGCCGAGAAAATCCTGCGAGATACGGGAGAATGGGAATGAAAAATTAACGATAAAATGATTTGCACGATATTGGAATCGTTAGCGGGTGGGCTTTGATGTACGGTCCACCGCACTGCGTGTTTACCACTTTCTACTGACCCCAGACACACTGGCGCTTCGATAAACTGCATTTTGAGCGCCGTTCCATTTATCCTGTCGCGTGTTTGCTCGCACGAGGTGTCTCTCCGTTTTATTAATCTAATTGGATAGAAATGTTCCCCGAAATGTACAGTGATTTATCTTTCAAATTGAAAGTTTCTTCGAAACGTTTGAAAATGTCATAATAACAGAGACTAAAGGTAGGATAGAAATTCGGAAAATTAATTAAATTGAAGATATTCTAAATTATAAGAATTCTGTAACATTCTTTACTCGATCTCCAGTACGCGATTATTATTTCATTCGTTTTCTTTTACCTTCTACGTAGGGCTGTATAGAAATTCGAAAGGTACCAAATATTCGGCACGATCCAAAATTTAAAGACCTCGAATATTGGAATTATTGGAAGAATTCCTATTCGAAATTAGTGGAATTATTTCAACAGTTCGATTATCCAAAGTTTTACAGCTCCAAGAAAGCGAATGGAATAATAATCGTGTATCACAGAGTGAGTTGAAAATGTCAAATAATCATCGTGAAAGTTAACACTTTTACGAGACGCCTACGTTCATCGGCAAATCGAACATTTACGAGAGAAGAGATTTTGCTCGACAATTCAGCACAGTTTGGAATCGCGCACATTCGTCGTCGAAGGCGAGAAAAGAAAATAAGAAAAAGAAGCTCCTCTCAATAAAATACTACATATTTGCAAATGCAACGTGCACGGGAGAAAATGTTTGTAAATGTCGCACGTACCTGATTGGATCGCGCGCGTTGATAGCTCCTGGCTCGAGCGAATTTCCACGAACCAGAGATTGAAACTTCCACGGCGAGTACAAACAGAGAAGCGGAAGGACTGCTATAAATACGGTTGATTTGCAAACGTCACAGAAACTGCACACGCCTCGTGTATACATATACCGGAAGCGTGATGCTTGTCATGAAACGCGAGATAAGCGCGGAGGATGCACGTGGTTTTCTGTTCGCTCTCTTCTCGAAAATGAAACGGTAAATTCGGCCTGAAAGATCTGAACGAGAAGAAAAAGAATAATCGAACCAAATGATATCTTCGCGCTTGTGAGAAACAACGAAATATGAAAAATATCTGCGAATGGAGAAAAAACAAATGGTAGAACGTGAAGTTGGAGAGGAAATTCGAGAGATGTCCTTATTGAGAGTTTCCCAGACGAAACGTCAGACGTTTCGAATTCCTTGACACGGTGAATGCCGGACCAATTCTACGTAACTTGTCCACGGCGCCGAAATGAATTTTTTATTTAAATACAGCGCATCCCAAAAGTTGGAAATGGAACTATTTAGTTTAGTCAAATTGAATTTAGTCAAAACAACTTATCGTACGCTATTAACTTATAAATGAGTCTATGTGGTATTATATATTTATTTAAAATATAAAATAAACGTAAATGATAAGAGAGAAATGTAAACGGTTTCTGTAACTTTCCCTGTGAAGTTCGAAATGCGTCAAAATGGCGCGTCCCGTAAACCTAGTGTTAAATATGCTGTGTGATGCGTTAGACGAAAATTTTACAAATATTACCACTTATTCAAATTAAATGCTTTCGCTAATCTTGGCACCGCCGGTCCCACGCGGCATTCAACGTGTTAAATATCACGGTTGTACACGTGAAACTATGCTCGAAGGAACAAACGAGCCGCGAGTTTACGTGACAAAAGAGTTCGCGTGTAATCGAGAACTCTTCACGATCGGCACGCGTCTCTTCCGCCAGAGAAATGCATCGAATCGGCTATATTGTACGCGAATAAATCAAGAGAGGCTGTACAAGATTCGCGACATGTCGATATTTTCCCTCGCGTGTAGGTTAAGAGTTCCAACGTCGCTGCTGGTGAACAATTTAACG